CCCAGACTAACATCTTTTTCCATCCCACAGCCCATCCGGAAAGGCCAGCGGGAAGTGTATGCAGGCCTGGAATCCAGGGGGTTCTGAAATTCCCAGGATGACAGGCTGGAAGCCACGGAAGGCAGCAGCACAGGGGCTAAATGCTGCTGCCCAGCTCAGTGCCAGCTCTGCAGCTCTGCTGAGGCATTTTGGGGTCAGCCAGGTCAGGTACCCGCTGTCCCACCCTGGGGTGTGCTTTGGTTTGACACCAGGGAACAGAAACGTGCCTTGGCAAGAGAAGTTTTCCTCCCCATTAAAGGACTGCAGCCTCACTCGTGGTTCCTGGCCTCCTTTTCCATCACTCTCCTCTCTGCTCCAGTTGCATGCTCTGGTTGTCTCTCCCATTTAATTTCTGCCCTGAGTGCCTCCCCTTCCCTCCAGTGCCTCCCTGGGCAGGGAGTGTGTCCTTCAGGGTGGGTGGCCTCTGACCTTGTCTAGAGCTCATGTTCACAGCCTTATCTTCATTTGCTGCCCAGGACTGTAGCAAAAGGAGCAGAGGCATCAGTATATTAAAACCAAAATGGCCCAACAGCAGTGGGACAGGTTAAGAAGGGCCCAAGAGATGCTGGGGTGCCTGGGAAGGTTTCTGGGCTGACACCAGAGCCACCCACGGTGCTGTTACCGAGCAGAGCAGCAGCTCTGAGGAAAGGAAACAGCAGCAGTGCTGGGGGCTGGGGGTGGTTTAACCCTTGAGTTTCAGTGTGGGGAGATAAACACCCAGCAAGCCCCAAGAGCAGGTCGATGTGCTCAGCCCCAGGATGCGGTTTGAGAGGCACAGCTGGGGTTACCATACAAGGCTCTGAGCAGCGAGCAGGGAGATGGAGAGATACGAGGAGCACTAACCCCCAGCAGCTCTGAAACCACTCTGGGCCATGTTCTCACCTCCTGCAAAACAGCACTGCTCCAGGGGTGCCTGCTCAGCCCAGCCACGCAGCCCATTCCTTGGGTGGGATGGGAGAAGCCTGGACCACTCTGGGCGTACAAGGTCTAAATTTTTGCTTCAGGCTCCACCCCGGTGTTTCTACCACTGTTTGTGGGGTGCACAAAAGTACAGGTTTGCCCTATGTTTGCCCCAGCCAGTGCCATCCCACACACTCCTTATCTCAGTGGGATCAGCACCCACCCAGTGGCAACATCTCTCTGCCTCTGTGCTTACCTGCACTAGAGAAATATTTCTTTGTCCTCCCCAGGGTGAGGTGCTGAGGAGCCTCTTGCAGTCTGGCTCTTGGATTTGTGCTTCTCCTGTTCCTTGAGTGGGGTTAGCCACATTTGCCCATTGCTTTGAGACCTGATGATGGTGAAAGAGCTACAAACTAGGCAGTCTGCTGGTCACTTTTTTAATGAAATCCTACCCAGATGGCTTTGCAGGTAAAAGGCAGGTGTTGGCATATTTTACCTGCAATGGCCACATTGGGCTGACCCTTCACTGCAGCAGAAAAACCACTAAGATATTATTCTGCTCCTCTGAAGAGCAAAATGTTGCTGTGTAAGGACTGTAGGAAAACAGGTCCTTTCCTTGCTCACTGCCCACAAGGCTGATCACACCCTGACCCCTGTATGGGCACCTGTGGGGCACCCACAGCTCTGCACAGACGACGTGTTGTTTGCTGGGTCACACGTGTCACAGATTTGTGGCCAGTTTTTACTGAGTGTTACCTCTTTTCTTCCTTTATACCCCTGAACACTGGATTGCCTGAGCCACAGGGCACTTCTCAGCCTGGTCCTCCCTAAAGCCTGGCACTCAGATTCTGAGAAAAGCAGGAAAACAACCCACAGGTGTGTGCAACTGGCACAGGGGGGGTGACCTGGTTTCTGAGGTTTCCAACTGCTGGCTGATCCTGGCTGGTGTCTGCTCCCATTTTGACCATACTCAGACCACACTGGCTGTTCCTGCTCAGAGCTGGGGAGCACCAGTGTGCACCTTTCCAGACACCAGATCCCATCCAGTGTGCACCTTCCCAGACACCAGATCCCATCCAGTGTGCACCTTCCCAGCATCCAGACCCCATCCAATGTGCACCTTCCCAGTGATCAGACCCCATCCAGTGTGCACCTTCCCCAAGGCCCTCGACAGAAGGGACAGAGCAGGGAGGCTGTGGGACAGGCTCATCTTTAATGAGAGGAATACAGAAGTGCAGGAGGTCATGGAAAGAGCACAGTGCTACAAGTAGCCCAGCCTGGCATGGAGCAGGAGGGATGTCCAGGCAAAGCCTGTGTGCTGATGGAGTCACAGGCTCCAGAGTGTCCCCACCTCACTTGCGGGCCCGGGCGGTTGCCAGCCGGCTGTACTGCTCATCCTCCCGCTCTCCGAGGGGCTGGAGGGGGAAAAAGGGGGAGATGAGCTCCAAGCATGTCTGTCCAGCCCTGGGAGGGGCAGCTGGCCCAGCACTCTCTTTGCCAAGCCTTTTCCAAGCGTCCCTCCCCACACACAGAGCTTAACACACACAGTAAGAGACGGGGTAGCTGAGCTTGTCCCGTACTCTGGGTCATCTGGGGAGAGGCAGCTGCCCCATCGGAGAGCAATATCCACCTCCAGGCATTGATTATCCCCCAGCAGACGTGTCCCCATGGCCAGGCTGGGCCCACACCGCACAGAGGTGCTGAAGGTCCCCCCATACACACACACAGGTGTGCCCCCACACTCACCTGGTAGAGCTGGTCGTTGGCAATCAGGTTCTGCCTGTCAGACGCTAAATGGAGAAAGAAGGTGGTCAGGGATCAGGGGAGCCACGGGCAGCGTGGTGCCTTTAAAACCAAACCCATCTGCAGTGCCTGGGTGCCACTGGAGGTGCCCAGGCCCAGGCCCTGTCCCCCCTCACCTCGTGACGTGTGTCCCCTGTCGTGGCCGGTGACACAGTACACGGCCACTGCCAGCAGCGCGGTGGCCACGACGTCCGCGATCACGATCCCCGAGACGGTGGCAGCATCCACCTCGATGCAGTTCTGGCACACTGGAAGCACAAAAGGACACGGACAGGCTCCAGTCCCAGGGCAAGAGAGACCCGGGATTGAGTTTGGCTCCTTGTTTGACCCGGGGCAGTGGCACGAGCTGCCGTGTGTCCCCCGGCACCCAGCGCGGGGCCAGAGAGAGGCCAGCAGTGCATCAGTCACAGCACTAACCGGGGCTGCGGGGCTCTCACGGGGACACCACGGACAGGGGAACCTGCAGCAAGCTGGGGGAGCCACCCACAGACTCTGGGAAACCAGCAGTTCCCTCAAAAATTTTCTGGGGTTAAAACTGCAGGCAGTTCTGGCTCTAGAAAGCAGGGGTGCAGCACCTACTTCGATAGTGCACCTGGAGCTTCCCCTCTGCTGCCTCTCCTGCTCGACACGTGTAGAGGCCTCTGGGATCGTCATAAACTGCACTCAGCTCCAGCTGAGTTTCGTTTCCAAGCTCGTTCCCATCTTTCCACCACGTAACTTTACTTTGTCCACTTGTACATTCCAAGAACACCTTCCCACTGACTTCTTTCACAGTTATTTTAGGTCCTGTACAAAAAAAAAAAAAAAAAAGAGAGAGAGCAGAGAGTTCACCGCTGAGTTATCAACCCTCACAGTGGTGCAGAACTCAGAGCTCCTTCGTGGAGATGCTCAGGCTGTCCCTGAGCAGCAGAAAGGCACCACAAACAAAAACCTCTGGACAAAGCAGACTCTGTCATTGCAAGGCAGGGTTATCACAGACAGTAACACAGCTCCAGGCTGTCACAGCAATGGTCTAGGGGAGGCAGAGCTGGCAGTGATCCCATCCTCACTGCACCAATTCCCTTTCCCCCACGGACATTTGGAACTTCATGTCCAGGTGGAAAGCCCCACCAAGCCTTGGGGCTCCCTCCCAGCACCCTCCCAGCACCTCAGAGCATCTCTGGGGACCACGACAAGTGCCCAACTGCCCCGAGCCCCAGTGACTCACCTTGGTTACCCCAGCTGGGCACAGCCAGGCTGGCCAGCACTGCCCAGACACCCAGGGCCCTTCCCCTCCACATGGCACAGAGGTGGTGGTTCCGTCCCCTGCTCTGAGATCTCCTCACCACAACTGCACCACTGGCCCCAGATCTGCGTCAGGTGCCGGATGCCGGGGGCTGGAGCCTCCCTCCCCCTGCAGCTGGGGATGGCTGAGGTGCTCTGAGCCTGCCTCCTCACCCCAGCCCGGCCTGGCAGCCGTGGGAGGGCAGGGGAGGGCAGCTGGGGCTGAGGTGGTGGGTTCCCAGCAGCCACGGACCCTCCAGGACATCCAGCAGCCAGTGAGCCTCCTGCAGGAGGCCATGGACCCCCAGGAGCCAGGGGTCCCCCCAAAACCAGGGAACACAGCAGCAGCTGCAGAGCCCCCACCATCCATGCGTCCCCCACAGCATCCACCCGTCCCCTGGCAGCCACTGGTGTGTCCCCCCGAGCCTTGGAGCTCCCCAGCGTCCACAGGTCCCCTCCACAGCCACAAAGCTCTGCAGCAGCTGGGGAGACCCCAGCATTAACTTGTCCCCCTCCAGTCATTGCCCCCCAGCATCCAGTGGTATCCCCCTAGCCATAGACCTCCAGTAGTCACAGGTCCCCAGCATCCCCTGGTGCCCTCCCAGCTATAGAACCCCAGCAGCCACAGGTCCCCAGCATCCATGGAGCCCCCCCCCGCCCCCCCTGTGCCCCCCAAGCCACAGACCTCCAGCATGCACAGGTCTCCCAGCATCCACGGAGCCCCCCAGCCCTACAACCCCAGGACTCACTGGTGTCCCCCCAGCTACAGAACCCTGCAGCAGGCGCGCAGCCCCCGGCACCCGCACGCCCCCCTGCACCCCCAGATGGCCGCACAGCATCCCCGGAGCCCCCCAGCCCGCACACATCCCCCGCACCCACCGCGCCCCGGCTCCCCCCCGGCGCAGCCGTCCCCCCGCAGCCTCGAACCCGCGGCCCTCCCCGCGGCCCCCGCTCCGCGCTCTGGTCCGTGCCGGCCGCCGTAGCGGCGCGGGGCGGCCATGGCGGCGCGCGCGGGCTCGCTGGTGGCGGCCGTGCTGGCGCACTCGGGCCGCCTCGACAAGGAGCACCTGGGCACCCGCGTCGGGAGGCTGTCCCGCCGCGTCGAGGAGCTCAAGGCAGGGCTGGGCACGGGGGGAGGCACGGGGGGACACGGCGGGGAGCGGGGCCGGCGCGGAGCCAGGTGTCCGTCCTGGTCCGTCCTGGTCCCCCGGAGCGGGGTGTCCGGCCCGGAATGGCCAGCCCTGGGTCAGTCCGGGGTGCCCCAGCCCTGGGTCAGTCAGATGAGGGTATCCAGCCTTGGGTGGGTCCAGGGTGTCCCACTAGCAGTGGCTCAACCTGCAGTGTCCAGCCCTGGTCAGTCCGATCAGGGTGCCCAGTCCTAGGTCAGCCCAGCTGTCCAGCCCTGGGTCAGTCCGAGTGCCCCTCTCTGTCCCGGAGTCTCTCCCTCCGGAGACATTCCAAACCCCAACCCCACCCGGTCGCTCTCCTGTGTCAGTCGCTCCGGGTGACCCTGTCCTTGGCAGGGGGGTTGGACTGGGTGATCTCCAGAGGCCCCTTCCAACCCCACCAATTCTGGGATTCTGTCCCAGAAATGGGTCAGACTGGGGTGTCCAGCCCTGGTTCATCCCGGGGTGCCCCAACCCTGGGCTGGACCAGCTGCACAGCCTGGTCAGTCAGATCAGGGTGTCCAGCCCTGGTTCATCCCGGGGTGCCCCCATCTCTCACCTCGTTCCTTTCTCCCCGTGCTGACGCTGTCTCTCTGCTCCCTCTCTCCAGGGAGAAGTCTGCAACATGATAAACAAGAAGTACAGCGAGTTCCTGCCCAGCATGCAGAGTGCAGAGGAGCTGGTGGCACAGGTGGACGGGCTGTCCAGCAACATCGACCTGCTCAGGGCGAGCATTGAGAACGAGGTGACTGCAGGGGGGCACAGGGGGATTCCACGTGGCTTCACCCCAAATCTGCAGCCCCCACCCCATCATGGTGTGTTGGGAGGGGACTGGGGGGAGGAGGTCACAGCCCCAAGGCTGCCAGAGCTCAAGAAGTGTTTGGACAACACTCTCAGACACAGGGTGGGACTTTGGGGTGGGTAGCAGGACCTGGAGTTGGACTCAATGATCCTTGTGGGTCCCTTTCCACTCAGGATATTCCATGATTCTGTGACTCTTGACTAAGTGACACCACCCCTAAGGAATGTCTTGAGGTGACACAGGTGTGTGTGACAGCAGGGTGCAAGTTAAGAGCTGTCATTAAGGGATTGTCCTGTTGCTGTGCAGGTGGGAAGGCGTGTCACAGTGTCCCTCCCAGAGAAGGCCCAGCCCTGGCTGTTGCAGGGGGTGTGACACACAAACTGACCCATGTTGGTCCCCCAGTGGTTTAGAGCAGAACAGGAACTCAAATCATACCTGTGCACATCCAGTGAGGTCTGAAGGGGAGCATGAGCAGCTCCTGCAGGTCAGGTTGAAGACTCACACTCTGATTATTGCCTCTGATGTCCCAGCATCTGGAGTTCTGCAGTGGTGTTCACTGAGAATTGACTTTTGGCTCAGTTCAAGCATCCTTGTGTTTATATGGCTGTGCTCAAGAAACACTGAAGTAATTTTAACTGCATTTTAAGACTGAATTTCCTTACAGTGCCTTTAAAAAAACTGCAGTCTAGTAGGAACTGGATGATCTTTAAGGGCCCTTCCAACCCATTCTATGACTCTTATGTATTAAAAGAAAAACCCATCCTGTAAGTGTTTCTAGGGCTTATGAGAAGTAAAATGGATGGAGCCATTTTCCTCTTCACCAAATTATTCTAGTAACAGAAATACTCTAAATTTCATGTGTAAGAGGAAATGTGCCTGATAACAACTGCTGCCAGTGAACTGAACAATTTGTTATTTTAGGTCCAGCGAGATCTCAATGTGGCTGTTGCTGAATTCACGGAGCTGAAGCAGCAGCTGGAGCGGGACACGCTGGTCCTGAGTGTGCTGAAAAAGCTGCAGGAGGTGAGGAGGGGAGGGAGGGGGGGCAGCTTAAAATCACACTCCTCAGTCTGAGACATCGTTCTGGGCTTCGACATCATTCTGTTGCAGTTCGACAGAGCCATCAAAGAGCACAAGACTGCACTGCTGGAGAAGAAGTATGTTGCAGCAGCTCAGCAACTGGAAAAGGTAATAGTGGCTTCCTGAGCATAAACTGCATCAGTTCCTTTGCAGGGGCAGCACTGACCAGTGTTGTGTGTCTGACCCTCCCCACCAGGCACGGGGCAGCCTCAGGAACCTGGAATCCCGCAAGGGCTTCGAGCTGAAGATCCTGAGGGCGCTCGGCACGGAGCTCACGGTGCAGACACAGAACATGCTCTGCCACCTGGGGGAAGAGTGGCAGAAACTCATTGTGTGGCAGCTCCCTCCTTCCAAAGGTGCTCACAGTTCTGCTTTGTCTCACTGGTTTTGCTGCACTGTTAGAAATGCCTGTTTCCAGGCACCCACAAGATGGGAAATGCACTAAAACTGTTGGAGTACGGTGGTTTAATGAGCTCTTTGTCTCTGAACACTGCTTCAGCTGCCACCTGAGCACTGAGCAGCTTCTCATATCCCATTCTGACAGAGCTCTTTGTGTTTAGAAAGCAGCCTGGAGGCAGTGGTGCACTCAGAGCTGCACTTACACACGATGCCATCCAAGGAGGAGGAGGTTGCTGGCCCACCTGTGGCATCTGTGCTCCAGGCCTTGGCTGTCCTGGGAGAGCTGCACACCAGGCTGAAAGCTTTTGGTAAGACAGACCAGACAAACTCAGCCCAGTAGCCCATGGGGACAGGGGTTCAGGCTTGGGGACAGATACTGAGATCCAGGTCACTCCAGCAGTACTCTGGAAAATCTTTCTCTCCTGGCTGGTGTTTCCCATGACTCTGAAGTGAATGCTGTGATTCTTATTAATAGGAAAATATTTATCCTATTATTTACCTGGAATTATTTGTCCTTTCCTGACAATCCAGTACGCTTTTAATTTGTGACTGCATGGTTTCATAGTCTGATGGTTGAAGAGTTTTACCTCGTTAGCTGCTCCCTGATACAGTTGATCAAGAGATTGTTTCTTCCACTTCATGCAGGGTCTCTACATCCAAAGTATCCAGGGCTGGGCCTCACTGTAGCAAACTACCTGTCTTCTGCTGTTGGAAAACATATTTTTTTTCATTTTCTCAGGCCAGTTGTTGCTGAAATACATCCTCAAGCCAGTGATTTCATACCCATCCCTGCAGCCACTCACCGAGGAGCGGCCAGACGTGCTCATCCTGAGGTTTAAATCCGAGGAGCCTGCCTTGGATCAGTCCTCTCCCATGGAGGTTTTTGACAAGATCAAGCTTATTTTTGAAGTTCTCCACAAATACCTGCTAAGTAGGTAGCTTCTCCCTTTTGTAATTAGTCGATGATCAGTACCTTGTCTGTGTAATTGGAGCAGAAATTTCCAGAATATCTGGTGGTTAATCAATATTACATGTGAGGGAAATGCAAGAGGAAAGTCTTTTGAACTGGTGAAGGGTCTGGTCCAGGAAACAGGTGTATTAAGATCCATTTGTATTCTCTGGAATCCAGATGTGCCTCTTGAGCAGCCTGGGGAGGACAGAAAGGATGGCAGAGTCACACTGGCGGAGCTGCTGGGGGAGCTGATCTGGGAAGAGCTCTCCAACTGCCTCGTTCAGAACTGCCTGGTGAACTCCATCCCCAGCAACAGCAGCAAACTGGAGCAGTACACAGAGGTGGGTCTCAAAAAGTCCCTCAGGAGATGCCAGGTGTCCAGTTTGAACACAGAGCCCCAGGTAGCCCAGGAGGACATTTTAGTGCTCAGTGCACTCTAAAACCTGTTGTCATCCCTTGCTTTCAGCTGAGTGGAAGTTTATACAAATTTTTAGTTTGGTTCTTTGATTTTGGAAGGCTGTGTTAATGTAAAACATGTGTCTGCTCTTCTCAGGTGATTAAATCCACAGAGGAATTTGAAAAGGCCTTAAAGAACATGCAGTTTTTGAAAGGAGACACGACTGACTTACTGAAATATGCCCGTAATGTCAACTCCCACTTTGCCAGCAAGAAGTGCCAGGATGTGATTGCAGCAGCCAGAAACCTGATGACCTCAGAAATCCACAACACTGTCAAGGTGATGCAACACACGGTTTTTCTGGAAAAATAAGGGTTGGGGAAGGATTGTCTACAACAGTCAAGTCCTTTTTTTGTGGAGCACTTGGGATTATTTGGGGATCTTGGCAAACGACAATTTCTAAACATCTTTTAATAACGCTGCAAGTCTTGTGTTTGAGTCTTAAATCTCTGTCATTCAGTGCTTTGTAATCTCACACAGTCTCCTCTCTGTGGGCTCTAAATTCCATTATACCTCTCTCTTGTCTCCCCTCAGATCACACCTGAGTCCTGTGTAACCCTGCCACAGCTGCCTGACCCTGCATCAGGAGATCACTCAAAAATGCAAAAGCCCTCCAACCTTCTGCACAATGGCACAGTGAATTTGGAGGGGGAGACCAGGCTGAGCCAGTACACCTTCTCCCTGCCCACGTGTCGCATCAGCTCCTCCGTGGAGCAGCTCATGGAGCTGGTTTATCAGACACTGCTGGAGGCCACAGTCAGCACGGACCAGTGGTAGGAATTACTGATCACTAATCTGGGTGTCAGAAGCTCACTGCCTGCAGCAACACCAAGCAGCTGTGAATAGGTTAAAGGAACTTTAAAAGAATAGGATATACTTAAAAATTAGAATCAGTCATTGAAGTTACTCTCACTGTGGCTGGTGGATGCAGCCCTGGGTTCGTGCAGGACACGGGTACAGCTGCAAACTCTGCTCCCTGCAGTACTTGGATTAAGCAGCCTTTGGGGTTGGGTTTTCAGGGAACATTCAGGTGCACTGCCTTGTATTTTAGCCATTAAAGCAGTGTAGCCACTGTAAACTCCCCATTGTGCACAACATAGTCCATGGCTTCATGGGAGAGATGCTACTGCAGTGTCCACTTCACTGATTTATCCCACTGTAGCTCTCAGTTGTTTAGAAACATTAAACCCATCTCTTCTTTCCAAACCAAATGGTAAGTGCTGGCACCCATTGTGAGCTGAGTTCTTGCTGTCTTTGTGCTGGTGAAAGCAAAGAGCTCCAGCTCTGCAGCTGGCAGGGCTCTTGAGAGAAAACAAATATTGAGGACCACGTAAAGTGTACTTTAAAAACCAGAGACCACAGCCATGGAGCAGGATTGTTGCCCAGGTAACCCCTCAGTGGCAGAGAGAGGGCTGAGTGTTTGTGCACACCTGGTGGGGAAGGGACACTGTCTCCTTTGTTCCTGGGGTTTCACATATCTCCCTTCTGAAGCTTTTCCACGCTGACCTCCCAAGGTCACTGCAGCCTCTGTGAGTTTGGCAGCACGTTGACATGGCTGTCACTGAGCCTGACAGTCCACTCTGTGCCAGTGCTTCAGTGCTCATAAAGCCCTGTTTTGGAGAAGGCTGAGGGTCACCTGTGAACAAGACATTGCCAGGCTGACCTGACCCTCATTTTCCCTGTAGCTGTGTGCAGCTCTTCTACTCGGTGAGGAGAATCTTCCAGCTGTTCTATGAAGTGGTGCCAACATACCACAAGTAAGTGTGTCTGTGTGTGTTCCCTAGGCCTGTGTTGAGAGGGAATAATGCTACTGGGACACTCCCACTTGGAGTTTACTAAGGGCTTCCTCCAGCAGCAAAAAGCTCTTATTAATCTATTACTAAATCATACCTGTGCAGAGTAGGTGTTTGAGGGTTTCTGAGTTGCCAGTCCAGTGAGCAGGGGGATGGTTGAAGTTCTTGCATGGTTGTGTTTTGTTTCCAGCCATGTAACCCCACGTCTGATGCACAGACTTTTAATGATGTTTTTCCTGCAAAAAGCAGCAATGAAGGGACAATGAAAGGACACAATCCTGTCAGAGAACATTGGAGTGTTCCTGACAGGACTTCTCTCCCTTTTCCTCCCCATAACTTTGCTGTAACAAAGTATATTTCTGTTTGGAAGTCCATGGCTGGAAAAAGAGCGGGATAACACATGGTTCAAATGCTCCTTTCCTGTGGGATCCTTTGGGAATGTGACAAGTTCATTATTTTTATTCTGACTGATGCCAGTCAGGCCTCGCCCATTTTCTGCAACGCCTGCAGCGAGTTTCTCTGGGGTAGGCACAACTATTCTTTTAACAGATTAATAAAGAAATCCATTTCTTATTTCTCTCTTCCTCCTGCCTGGGGCAGGGAGAGCCTGCAGAAGTTCCCCCAGCTGGCAGCCATCCACCACAACAACTGCATGTACCTCGCTCACCACCTGCTCACCCTGGGCCACCAGTTCCGCTACCGCACCACCAACATCCTGAGCAACGGGGCAGCCTCCTTCGTGGACCTGGTGCCCGCCTTCAGGAGACTGGGTAACACCTTCCTGGCCCAAAACACACGCCTGGGGCACGTGGCAATGGACCCTGGCAGCTGGGGCTGGGTGGTTTGATGGAGGAGTGGCTGCTGACTCCCTGGGAGCAGGGCATCCTTATTATTTGTGGCAACAACATTTTCCAAACTGGGCAGTCTTGGCTCTTTGGAGCCCAGCTCTTGTCCAGCACATAGTTCCACAAACTATGTGTATTCCAGCACAATGCTGTAGCACTGTGTTTTGGGATCTGCTGCTCAGTCCTTTAATGTTTTCTTCAGTTTATCCTGTGGAAACAAATTCAGAGATAAATTTGTGTCAGCTAACAGGAGTCATCCACACTTAATTACTGCTACTCTGCTCTTTTTCAGAAGTGTTGTAGCAATGCAAGCTGCACAAAAGCTTACTGGTTAAATTGGCTCTATGAGACTGTTTAGGGACTGGAAATTCGATTAAAAATAAAACACTATAGCAAGTTCATTATTCAGCAATTGTAGTCATAAATAGGCACAGCAAATTTAGTTAATTGCTTAACTGCTTCTCTCTGCTTGCTTTTCCTCCTAAAGGGATGGAGTGCTTTAAGGCCCAGATGCGAGTGCAGAAGGGGGAAATCCTGGAGAGGCTCTCAAGTGCCAGGAATTTTTCTAACATGGATGATGAGGAAAATTTCCATGCAGCAAACAAAGCCATCAGGCAGGTAAGGAAGGCAGTCAAAGCCAGACATCCCTTTGTCTGCAGGTGTCCTGGGGAAGGTCCAGTGTGTAATCTCAGTCCTGTTTCAGCAGGCTGGAACTGGTAAAACAACTATTTTCTGACATGTTTTTTATTTTTATCCTGGACTGTGTCTTTAGCAGGATATTTCGTTGCCTTTTGCTTCTTTCAGCCTGGTTTCTGACCATAAGTGGTCACCTTATCCCTTGGTGCCTTTCCTGATGTTCTTTTTGATAACATGTTGGTAACACAGAGCTGTTCATTCCAGGTATTGCATCAGTTGAAGAGGCTGGGCCAGGTCTGGCAGGATGTCTTCCCAGTGAACGTGTACTGCAAGGCCATGGGGACCTTACTGAACACAGCCCTGGCAGAGATTGTCACCAGGATTGTTGCCCTGGAGGTACCTGCTGGGGTGGATGTGCCAGCCCTGGGGTGGTGGGGACATTTGTGACCTGGCATTTGTGACCTTGCTGGTCCCAAAGTCGGGTTTCAGGGGAGCAGTTGCCTTTCACAGAAATTGTAACTGTGTGTCCATGGGAAACGTTCACAACACCAAGCTTTGATTTCACTTGGCACTCCAAAAGTAAATCTCCCTACTCCACTGTTAATTAGGTTTTCTCCATTGCAGGATATCTCTGCAGAAGATGCAGACAGGTTGTACTCACTCTGTAGGATCATGGTGGAGGAGGGACCCCAAGTCTTCACCCCTCTACCTGAAGAAGAGAAAAACAAGAAGTACCAAGAGGAAGTTCCAGTCTACGTGGAGAAGTGGATGACATTCAAAGAGCTGATGATCATCCTGCAAGCCAACCTCCAGGAAATAGTGGATCAGTAGGTGTCTTCCTTTCTCCCTTCTCAGTTGGTTCTCAGGAGCAGGGAAGTGTCTGACAGCAGCAGGGGCTGTCCAGAGGAAAGGCAGCCACTGCTCCTGAGGATCAGGCAGCTGCTCCTGGGACTGCTTTTGGGTGTTCACAGTCCATTTCAAGCTTGCCCATAATTTCCTGCAGCAGAAGGAAAAGGCAAAATGGTAAAAAACCAGGTGCTGTGGGAGAGCCAAGCACAGAGTGTTGGTCCCCTTGTCTTCTCCAAGTTCAGGGGTGTCTCACAGGGAGCAGCCTGGCTATCATTCCACCTGAGTGCCCCCTGCTTTTTAGGATGCTGTTTCTTGCTGCTTTTTACCTTGCAAGGGGGATTCATCTGAACTGTCCCTGAGGATTTGCATAATCCCTTCTGTTACCTTGGCTGGCAGGAGCTGGGCAGTCCCTGCTCGCAGCTGCCTCACACAGAGCTCTGAAGGGCAAGAAAACACCCAGTTCTCAGCAGGTTAAACCAGAGAGGCACCAGCCACAGGGAGGGCACAGAGGGAAGGCAGCTCCTTCCCTGGGCCCCTGGAACTGGGTTACTCACCAGAGGTTCCCAACTCCACTTCCACCTGGGCATAAACCACTTCCTTGTGTTCTTAAGGAGGTAAATGGGAATTTTGCAGACAGGCTTTAGGTGTATTTAGGAGAAAGAAAAGGTGCTGAGTGCAGGAATCACCTCACAACCTGGTGCTCTGTGTACCTGGCTAAACAGTTCTGGGCTGGGGCTGCACACATACCTGGTTGGTGACCACTGGAACAGCTCCTCAGAGGCTTGTCTTCATGTGCCATTCCCAGGCAGTTTGGTTAAATAAAGCTCTTTCTCTCCCCTGCAGGTGGGCAGATGGGAAGGGCCCTCTGGCAGCCGAATTCTCAGCAGCTGAAGTGAAGAGTCTGATCCGAGCCCTGTTCCAGAACACAGAAAGGAGAGCAGCAGCACTGGCCAAAATCAAGTAACCCCACATTTCCACCTGCACTTTGCATCTTCTGATAAAGCAAGAGCAAACTGAGACTTTCAGATATTTTTTTGATTTGACCTTTTTTATTTGTACTGGTGTAAAAAAAACAATGTTAGAATTGGGTAAGTGCTTCCTGGAGCTTGGCTGGGGGAGAAGGAACATTTCCTGGCTCAGTGTTTGAGGGGCTGGGAGTCTGGGACCAGGAGCTCACAGGTGAGGAACACACAGACACCTCCTGCCACGCTCCCCACAGCAGTTCTGCCCAAATCCAGGTTTTCCTTCAGGAGCTGCTGGGTGTCCTGGAGAAGGAGAGATGCTTTTACTGATGTTTGCTAGTTCCCATTCTCTAGGATTTCATCTTCCCGTTCAGGCCAGCATAGGAAAATAAATCAAACCTTGTATCCAGCATCTCTGTGAGCACAGGGACTGCTGCCAGATGATCCTCCCATGTGAGGTGCTGTGGAACCTCATCTCAGACTGGCCTCAGGGTCCTGCAGAGGGGTTTTATTGCTCAGTAGTGACTCTCATCTATGCAGTTCTACATCAGGGGGCCTGGAGCCCCTCTCTGTCTTACCTCTTCTGTCCCTGTAAGTTCCACATGAAACCCACACTCTGAGAGCTTTTGCTATCCTCCCAGGAGTGCTGAAGTGCCAAACTTAGCTCTTTCCCACCTCAGGTTCTTCTGAGGGACAGACCTCAAGAGAGCAACAATTTAGGGGGGATTTGGGGAAAGGAGATCCTGTGCAGAGTGAACTGGTGATCAAGTCACAGGGTTTTGCACAAGTAGCAAAATTCTCTTATTTCTCATGGAAAATATCTCAAAACTGACTTAGAATTTTTCAGTCTCGCTTTACCAGCTGTAGAAGCCAGTTCAGCTCCTTTGTGTTTTTGTTGGCTGTGAACTGGGTAGCTCTGGTGTCTTTCTGGTATTATATTTTCTGTCCTTTAAGAACAGTGTAAACCAATGTAAAAAAGGAATGAAAGGTGCACTCGTAGCATTGTCTTTTTCAGTCACAAAAGGCTGTGGTTTAGATTTTGAGAAATTTCTCACCCAATTTAATTGAAAAACTCACTGAGAGCATTCACTTAAATTAGCCCAGAGGCCAAGATGGAGCAAAGTTCTTCCTGCCCTGTCATGCTCACTAAAGTTTCAGTCATAGAGCTTGGTGTTTTTAATCTGTTATCTCCTGTTGTATCCTTTTCATTTGCACTGTTGTCCAACTTCTGTTCCCATTCCAAGCATTTTTGCAGGGCCTGAGGCCCTGACCTGTGTCACCCAAGTCCTTGCAGAACCCTTCTGCTCTGGTTTAACTGGTGTGAGGAAGGGGAAGTCCAGTCTAATGGGCAGTTAGACCGAGCCCAGCACATGGGAATGCAGCAGAGAAGAGAGATACTGAAGCAGAATCTGCCACTCAAAACTCAGCTTTCTTTTCTTCCCCTCCAAGTGATTCACCCAAAGGCTGAGAGTGTTGCCCTTACACTGACAACTCATAGGATCCCTTGTCCTTATACACACAGCAATCCAAAAATCACACCTATTTTGGAAAGCACTTCTCCCGTGTTTATTGTTCACAGAAATGTAATTTGCTATTTTCTTTAATAAACTATTTATACTGAGCACATTTGGGGTTCTGTTCAGGTTACAGTGACAGGATGAATCAGTCCCTCCTTGCCTGATTTCTAGTAGATCTAATAAATAAAAAGAAAACAGAAAGAGGAATCAGTGCTATAGAAGAGGTCGTCCCAGAGGCTCATGGGTCAAGGGGAGTGACACAGAGTTCAGTGGGATGCTGGCACTGGGATTTGTGTGTGGAAGATGCAGGGCTGTAGGGCAGGCTGGGCACACACCAGGGCTTACCTGAGTGACCTGGTGAATCCAGGGCAGGAGCTGGGCCACGTTGGTGTAGACCCCGGGGTGGTTGGGCTCAGCACAGCCCTGGCCCCAGCTCACGATCCCCACCAGGCGCCACGTGGATCCATCCCAGCACACGAGGGGGCCCCCACTGTCCCCCTGGGGGCAGAGCCAGGGCTGAGGGAGCTGCTCTGCCCCCCAGGCAGGTCAGGCAGGTCACAGAATCCCAGACTGGTTTGGGTGGGAAGGGACCTTAAAGTTCATCCAGACCCACCCCTACCATGGGCAGGGACACCCCCCACTAGCTCCAAGCCCCGTCCAATTGGACAAACTGGACGCTCCCAGGGGTGGGACATCCAAAATCGGGCAGCCTGCCTCCCCAAGGACCTCACCAGGCTGCTGTGTCCCAGGTGGCCGTGTTCCCTCAGCCCCCAGGAGGCTGACAGGTGGGTCCATACACCCCCCCCAGCATTCCCACTGCTCCCAGTGTTACCTGGCACGCGTCCACCTGCCCGCGGGGGTACCCAGCACACAACATCCTGGCAGTGAGCTCCCCCGGGTACATGCACGAGCTGTTGCACCTCCGGGTCCCGATCAGGGGCACCAGGGCCTCCTTCAGCGTCCCGGCCACCTGTGCTGGGATGGGCAAAGGGGGGCCAAGAGGGACAAACAAGGTCTGCAGGGAGCAGCAGGGGAGAGCAGGGCACTAGCTGGGGAAGGCAGAGATGGGAAATTAGGATTACTTCATGGTCACAGGAGCTGGGGGTGTGGGGTGCAGGCTGCTGGAGCAGGGGTGGGACGAGGGCAGGGGGTGCATTTGGAAGCTCACATGCGGAATGGAAGGGGCTGGATGGGAGCAGGGGGAAAGTCTAGGGCAGTGCTGGGGGACAGGGAGGGAGCTCACCTTGGTCAGGGGTGGTGTAGCCCCAGCCAGAGACCCAGCACTGTGTGCCCTGGAGCAGGTCCTGGTGGGAGGGCGGCAGGCACACGGCTCGGATGGCAGCTGAGGAGAAGGGGACAGGGACGGTGCCAGGGCAGCGGGGACAGCTCTGCCAGGAGTAGTGTGGGAAGGGCTGCAGAGCCCTCAGCCCAACTCGGAGAGCGGGTCTAACTGATGAGCCCAGAGAACAGGTCCACTACCTGTCCTGGGACACCAGATCTACCCTCTGGGTCGGGACAAGAAGTCTACCACCTGTGATCAGACACCAGGTCTACCCACCGGGTTCGGACACCAGGTCTACCCACCGGGTTCGGACACCAGGTCTACCC